TCTATCTATCTATCTATCTATCTATCTATCTATCTATCTATCTATCTATCTATCTATCTATCTATCTATCTATCTATCTATCTATCTATCTATCTCTCTATATCTCTATCTCTCTATCTCTCTATCTATTTATCTATCTATCTATCTATCTTTCTATCTATCTATTTATCTGTCTATCGGAGGCCTGGTGTCGAGTTTGATTAGACACATCAGTTGATGTTTTCCTCATTCCTCTTCTTATGTTAGTAAAGCATTTGGACGAATTAAACATAAGCTTAAATGTATAATAAACATGGGGCTCTAACTCCTTATATATACGTTTTAAGAAGTAATGTTGAATTTTGCTCGGATCTGTAAAATTAACGTGCGCGACCTGCATTAAGGACCTCCGGAACTTTTTTCGCCCATGTTCGAGAAGGCTCGGTGATAGATCTGTTATACCTACCCAAAGATCAGAGGTGTAAATAGCTGAAAGATAGCAGTGGGGAGGAAGTGCAGAAGCAGTAGAAATTAAGGCAGCAGAAAGAGCCAGGAGCCCAGATGAGAAAAAAAGGGGGGCAGAACTTGGAGACAAAACAGACGACAGAACACGGTTAGAGAGCCGAAAAGGAGGTGAAAGAACATTTATTTAGAGATGAAAATTTTCCTGTAGCTGTCAGGTTTCGAACCTGGGATCTATTGAATGAGAGGCGAACACTTTAGGCCCGAGTCGTAAGATCTTTGACGACACGCAGTGTAGTAAACAAGCGGATACCGATATCACAACAACAGTGTCACTTAAAAAGCAAAAAAAGATAAATGAGCAATGCGTTTAGAATGATGAGAAGTAATATTATGGTATTGATAATTTTTGCAACAAAAATTACTTTGGAATCGGGCGTCTTTTTAAATCGCGAGGAATTTTTTAATAATTAATAAGCAACGTTACAAGGGGTTTGGGAAAACACCGAAAACAGTAAACTGAAACCAACTTTCGGAAAAAGACTTATTGCCGATTAGCGTTTTAAAAGTTTATCTGATGTTGATACATGTATTAACTGGGAAGAAAAGTGTTGACAAATACATTGAACTTGTGTACAATAATATGGAAATAAGTTTTGCATTTTGATGGAAATAGATAGCAAAAAGGTTAAATAAAAGTGAACAAGCGTATAATAAGTTTTGAGAGCGTGTGGCTTGGGGCGTAACACTTAACGTCAGTTTGGAAAATGGCAAAAAATCCTGGTATATTTAGGGCCCACCTCTATCTTGTTCATCACAGGGCCCAGCTGGAGTGTTGTGTGTGATAACGATTACACATCTGTCGGCTGGGTGGTATCTTCACGGCACCGCCCAACCAACTGATGTTGGTTGAGTATGGAGAAAGTGGTTCGTGTTTAATAAGAGAGATACTAGGATTTGAAAGACACTGCATTCTGTAACGCAGTAGCGGGGAAATTAAAAGTCGCCCGTTCTTGGAGTATTGAATGACGCCTACTTTTGTCTTTTATTGTCTGCTGTGCTGAAATCAAAACAAACTTGATTGATACAAAATCTTACAAAAGTAGCCTACTGTTGTATGATTTTATGTTGTTGTTTTTAAAAAGAAAATGTCTAAATGAATATGACTCTACCCGCTGAATTTCTTATCTGCTGTCCAAGCCAAAGAACTTCACTTTGAATCACACAGAATTCAGATAACATCTTGCAACAGAAGAGAACTGACTTTGAGGAAGTTGATCTTAAATTTGATAACATAAAATGTCAAGTTTGATTGTGTGTAGTGATGATAAAAAAATAATGTGAAAACCTTCCTTGTTTGGTCATTGACATTGTTGACCTTTGTTATCCGTCGAAATAGTGATAAAAAGAAATGTGACAATTTTCGCTGAATATTAAGGATTTGTTCCGTGCCGAGGCCTGACAGATGTTAATGAAAGCGAGAGCTGCTAAACCTCTATCAAAATGGAAGTAGATGCCTCAAGTTCTACTGAATATGATATTGACACTTCCAGTATAAGGTATGCCTATATGATTTCCATTTCATTTTTACAGTACACTATAGTCTTAATAATGTTCATTTTTGTGAAAAGAATGGGTACATTTAAAAAGGTTATATTACCTATAAAAGGGAGGAATTCCGTAACGTGCGACAACCACGAAGCAGAGTAGAATAGAAGGTTAGGGTTTTGGGTAGAGGTTGGGATAAGGGTAGAGTTAAGGGTTGGGTACAAGTGTAAGGGTAAGGTCTCTATGTTTATTGAGGCGGTCACTCGAGAAGTCCTTCCCAATAAAGAGTATGGGCCTATTCATGGGGTCTTATCATTACTTAAAACTACTGTGTACTGTTCAGGGATTCTCAAATTATTTACTTTTATGGGAAGGACTTCCGTAACGAGCGACCGCCCCATCAAAGAAGAGACCTACCCCCTAACCCTACCCCTACCACTAGCACTCTTATATCTACTCTGTCTCATAGCGGTCGCTCGTTACGGAAGTCCTCCCCTTTTATGGTCCATGGATTTAGATTGTACTCCGCTCAAAGGCATGTTGCTGCGTATAATTTTTAAGGAGTAATATATATATAAATTTGTCAAATTTGTGCTGCTCTACTAACAAAATTTTGTTCTATCCACTATTGAAATGGATTACCATCATTATTTCTCACCCTGTGCCGGAATATAGACCACCAGAAAGAATTCTCCGATCTGCTTCTATTTTGACTTATTAAATATTCATAGTAATAGTATCATCCTCTGTCCAACTGCACTGTATCCCATCTGTTTTACGACTGATACAAGAAGAACCTTCCCCGTTCCTCCAGGTGCTTATAAATAGGTCTTTCTTGCTTTCTCTTTCCTTGAGGATTCTTGTAAAGCTAGATGGTGGCAAATGTTTGTATTCGGTCTACTGAGTGAGGGGGTGTGTCCGATCCACTTCCGAAGCATTCTCTCTTTTACTTTTATCATTTTCTTTTATCGTCTTTCATTTTATTTTTTTCGCTCTCGTAGTTCTAACTGATGTTAGGCCCATGAAAATTAAAAGTATTTTTCTAAAGCAACTGTTAACAAGTAACAAATGCCTCTATATCTTAAATAATTAATTTAAAGCTTTTTTTTGGCAATCTAAGACTAGTCTTTAGGTTTAAGTTCACACTTAGTCAGTAATTCTTAATGCTTCTAGCCAGGTGGATGGAGGACCATGAAAACTTTGCTCACAATTTAACCCAGATCAAAGTTCAAGTTCAGTATCAAACCAAGGTCATCCACCTATCTTGTTCCAGTACATGCCATCATCTGAGCTAAAGTATCCCATTCTAAAGTACAGTGAAGCCCAAATTCAAAGAACAGACCATGACCTCTTAAATCTCATTGCCGATTTTCTTCCCCACCTCTTTCTTTCTCTCTCTCTCTCTCTCTCTCTCTCTCTCTCTCTCTCTCTCTCTCTCTCTGTCTCTCTCTGTCTCTCTCTCTCTCTCTCTTGCTCTCTCTCTCTCTTGCTCTCTCTCTCTCTTTCTCTCTAGACTCTCTTCTCTTTCACCCGATCTTAAAATTAAAATCATAAAACAAGCAAAACTTAAACCAAGACACCCATACTTTGACTGTTTACTCCTGTTGTGATGGAGGTTCAGTCAAGTAGAAATCGTGGTGTCTGATGATTTAAAATGACATTTTTGTGTCCAGATTTAAAGTAAGGTTTGCCCTAATTTAATACGCAGCAAAAACTGATTTCAAACAACAACAGTCAATATCATAACCACCTTATATTGGGGACATATAGTTCATGATATGAAACGAGGTTTTTATTCTTTTTTTTTAAACCTGTTTTTTTTTCCTCTACATTAATGCCAGGCCTTTATTTTGTTGTTTCATTTCATTTTATAAAGGTGAGTAAATTTCTAAATTTAGCAACCTGAGCATGACCCCACTATCTGAAATTTTCATTAATTGTCATGTTGCTCCAATTTACTTGATAATAAATTGTTGTTGTATGTTTGTAATATATTATATTTCATGGACTTTGCTTTTTCTGGTCATAGCTTTCCTAAAGGTAACCACAGAATCAACGACAGTGGCACCTTTGATGGCAGTCCCGACGTCGAAGTCCCTGCATGGCGAGCCAGGGATGACAGCGGTAGTGAGGTTCTGTCCACGTCTGTCTCTGACATCCATGCAACGCTGGATGAGAGCAGTCAGTTTGCTGGCTTAGGTCAGTTGATGGATATTTAGTGTGTCATCTCATTTGCTGGCTTCAAAGGTCAGTTGATGGGTATACAGTGTGTCATCTCATTTGCTGGCTTCTAAGGTCAGTTGATGGGTATACAAGTGTGTCATCTCATTTGCTGGCTTCTAAGGTCAGTTGATAGGAATACAATGTGTCATCTCATTTGCTGGCTTCTAAGGTCAGTTGATAGGAATACAATGTGTCATCTCATTTGCTGGCTTCTAAGGTCAGTTGATAGGAATACAATGTGTCATCTCATTTGCTGGCTTAGGTCAGTTGATGGGTATACAGTGTGTCATCTCATTTGCTGGCTTCTAAGGTCAGTTGATGGGTATACAAGTGTGTCATCTCATTTGCTGGCTTCTAAGGTCAGTTGATAGGAATACAATGTGTCATCTCATTTGCTGGCTTCTAAGGTCAGTTGATAGGAATACAATGTGTCATCTCATTTGCTGGCTTAGGTCAGTTGATGGGTATACAGTGTGTCATCTCATTTGCTGGCTTCTAAGGTCAATTGATGGGTATACAAGTGTGTCATCTCATTTTCTGGCTTCTAAGGTCAGTTGATGGGTATACAATGTGTCATCTCATTTGCTGGCTTCTAAGGTCAGTTGATGGGTATACAGTGTGTCATCTCATTTGCTGGCTTCTAAGGTCAGTGTATACAAGTGTGTCATCTCATTTGCTGGCTTAGGTCAGTTGATGGGTATACAGGGTGTCATCTCATTTGCTGGCTTAGGTCAGTTGATTGGTATATATATATATTAGTGTGTTATCTTATAATCTCTTCTCCTCTCCTCTGGTACACACATATCTCTTACCAGAGAGCCTGTGATAATGATCTGAAATGGGCAGACACTGAGTTTGCACTGATAGCAGAGTAGTCTAACACTGCTGTTGATTAAGTCTTTGTTTGACTAGTCAGGGCATTGGGGTCAGTTAACCTGTCTAAGTTTTTCCCTCAAATGAAATATCTTTGTTATGTGGACAGCTGAGCTTATCTCTGACCCTAGCCTAACAAGATTAGGAAATGGATTTTTTAATCCAGTCCGCGACTGAGCTATGTTAAATAAGTGAAACTCTGTCTGCTCAAATTTGCAAAAATTCTTGACACTGATTAGACAGGGACTTTTATCATTAATATGTGTCTTGTTACTTTTGAAAATTACTATTCTTTCTTTTACTTGATGGTCATTGATACTTTCCAGAGAGAGAAAGACAGAGAAAGAGAAAGTGAGTGAGAGATAGAGAGAAAAGAACCTATTGGAACCGTATGGTGCTCTTGTCCTTTGTATTATTAATTTAATAAGCACATTGAGCACTTTCTACGTGGAAATGGGCTACAGGAAATAGGAAATTTATTTAGTTTTTATTATTATCATCTTGTATTTTGTTTGATAATCTTACTGTCCATGCACATGGTGCAAGATTAGTTTTTTTTAAAAACTTGTTCTTGACCAGACAAGCAACATAATAACGAATTGTTTTATTGTCACTGAAGACTGCTCTATCTCTGTCTCTGTTGTGTGTCAAAAAGTGGCTGAAAACGTTTTTATTTTGAAATATTCCTCCCTTCTTTGCATCGAGGTGACTGACTTTTTCATTACCCTTGGTGATCGGTATGGAAAAAGCTCACATGGTATATCTTACCACTTTGCAGTCACACAGCCAGCAGTACAAAACACCCCATCTGGTCACCCAGCCAGAATAGAACTGTGCCAGGTGACCAGAACAAATCATTTTTCATCATCGTCTATCAATGCCTTTCACCCCTGGCAGGGTATAGGTCACATACAAGCTCCTTCCTTTATCTCTATCCTGGGCCATCCTTCATAGCTCGTTCCAAGAGAGCTTCATCTTTCTCATGTCCCTTTCTACACATCTCCTCCATGTCTCTCGTGACCTACCCCTGCCTCGATCATTTTTACCGTCACATTATTGCGCCAAGTGACCGCCAAGTGTTAATAAAAGGAAAATTGACTTGTATGTATGTGAAACGGCTTATTCTTTTGCTCAAACCTTTTTTTTTCTTAAATTTTGTTGTTTTTTTTACTTCAGATGGAGAGTCCATTTTACAAGCTGTTGTGTTCATTGAAGATGCATTTAAGGTAACCTCGTTCTTGTGTGTTTTGCACGATTTCTCTCATAGCTCATGTTCTTTACCGTACTATGTTATCATCATCTTCACCATCATCATCATCATCATCATCATCATCATCATCATCATCATCATCATTATTGCCTTTCTCACCCTGGATCAGGGAATAGGCCACGAACAAACACTTTCCACCTTTCCCTATCCTGGGCTAGTCGCTTGATTTCACTCCCTGCCTTCCCACTTTTCTGTACATCCATTTCCGTGACTTTTCTCCAGGTTCCACGAGGTCTTCCCCTTGATCTTTTACCCTGTGGGTTCCAATTTAACACTTTTCTTGTTATGCAGCTGCTCAACTTCCTGAAAGTGTGTGTGGGTGGTTGGTAGGTGCTCTGGTGTGGTTTGCTTCTTCTTTCCTATCTAACACCTATCGTCCTTATCTCCCCTTCTTCTTTTTTATGTTTGTTACTCCCTAGTAAAACCTTTAATCTTCTGGCGCTCATATGACCTTATGCAGTTGTGAGCGCCGTAAAACCTCTACTAAAACTAAACTAAACTGAAAGTGTTTCCAATCCATCGCCAACGTCTTCTTCCCTCATCATCTCTGACTGGGCTCTGTCTCGTTCTTCTTAATACTTCCTCGTTGTTGATCCTTACTATGTCACTGAAGATAACAAATTTCTTCTAAAAGTTGTGTGCATTTTTGGGTTGCTGACAGGTGCTCTGATATGGCTTGCTCCTTCCTTTTTTCCTATCAAACATCTGTCTTTTCTTTCTCACTTCCTTCTTTTCTTTGTATTTTACTCTCTTGTAAACCTCTCATTTTCAGCACTTATACGACCTATTTGTGTTGCAATTGCTGTAAAAACTCTTACTGCGAATAAGTGTAAAGCTGTGTGTATTATTTCATAGTATTGAATGAACGCTGTTCTCTTAGGGTCTTAACTGATAATATGGTCGCTCAAGCTGATAAAGTGAATATATACTTTTGAGAGGTGGTTTCTTTCTTGTAAAAGTTTATTTTTTAAGTCTATAAATTGCTACCATGTTTAATCGGTGAGGACAGGGCATGAGATAAGAGATTAGTTGAGGTTCGTAAATAAATTTCAGATTATCAGCAATGGAAAGTGACTTTTTCGGAGTGCAATAATCTATCTGTGTGTGTCTCTTTTTCTCCCAGTACCGCTCCATCAACCACAAAGTGGGAGCCAAAGACTTGCAGGTCTATCGAGAGTACACTTCCTTTGCCATTGCGGTGTAAGTGACGTGACCGTTGGAATAAGATAAGATAAGATAAGATAAGATACATTTTTATTGTCCAAATCCTTGCACATTAGTTTGGTGTCTCACCACGTACACACATACTCACACACACACGCACACACACATTCACACACACACACACACACTTTCTCACACACACACACACACACACACACACACACACACAAACAAACACACATACACACACACACTCACACTCACTCTCTCACACACACACACACTCTCTCTAGTCTAACACACATACACACACACACACACAATATCTTCTCTTTGTTTTAGTAGCAACTCTTTTACAACTTCATTCACTAGATGAAAAGGAATTTTTTTACATTTGCGGTGTGTGCGGGATTTTTGTATATTTGTGTGGCCAATTCCAATGTGGAGGGGGTGTTATGGAGTGTCTCCATTTGTCTGCTGGGAAGTTGTTTGCCAAATGTGTCAATTATATGTTACACATGGAATTTATGAACATGGGGGGGTTTACACCATTGTTTGGGAAATTTGTATTATTTGTTGTTTTTGCTGAATGAAAAAATAAAAGTATCTTCTGCAGTCGGGCACTGATAACTCAAGTACGTCAGGGGTTTTTAACAAATATGCACAACACACTCATAATTCATTTTAACTGGTTACATAAAACTAAAAAGATATACAGTCAGGGGTGGAGATCAGCAAATTGTAGGAGCTATCCCGGTTTTGTGTTTTCTGTGTTCATACTATCTGTGCCCGACTGTATTTGTTTGTTTTCTGTGGGCGGTTTGCGGGTGCTCTGGTGTGATTTGCTGCCCTTTCTTTCTTGTCAAACATCTATCATCCTTATCTCCCCTCCTTCCTTTTTGTATTGTGTTTGTTACTCTCTTGTAACACCTCTAATCTTCGGCACTTATATGACCTTATTGTGTTTGTTACTCTCTTGTAACACCTCTAATCTTTGCCACTTATATATGACCTTATTGTGTATGTTACTCTCTTGTAACACCTCTAATCTTTGCCACTTATATATGACCTTATTGTGTATGTTACTCTCTTGTAACACCTCTAATCTTTGCCACTCATAAATGGCCTTATTGTGTATGTTACTCTCTTGTAACACCTCTAATCTTGGCCACTCATAAATGGCCTTATTGTGTATGTTACTCTCTTGTAACACCTCTAATCTTGGCCACTCATAAATGGCCTTATTTTGTTTGTTACTCTCTTGTAACACCTCTAATCTTGGGCACTTATATGACCTTATTGTGTTTGTTACTCTCTTGTAACACCTCTAATCTTTGCCACTTATATATGACC